TTCAATACAATATCAGTAGAAAACAGTGTAATGCTACTATCCTCTATGGAGAAGAAGAATATGTAACTTGTCTTGTGGTCCGGAGTAGTATTGGTCAGTAATAGGTAAGTTCAAAGTGAAGTAGTGAGTATTCATTGCAATTGAAGGACAAAAGCTATCTAGGTCATTGACTTTAGGTTTCAAATGAGTTGTGTCTGGCCACCAAATTTGAAGAGAAGGAAGCCATGACTTTGCTTTAATTCCTTGGCTACAATTAATGCTTTCTACATCAATGGCGATAATTATTAATGTCTATTGTAATTTAGGCATTGCTCCATTAACCATGATTATGTTGCCCTGTCCTATGCTTTTTCATTCGGTTTCTTAATCAAGCTATGAAAATTTCAATAAAAGTACCAATAATCGTGGATGTGTTAGTGAGCGGTTCTGCTAACCTTATTGGCCCAATATTGTCAATGGGCTATTGCTATTGATTGCTTGTGGATTATGGTTAATATTTATGAACTTATATCACAGTTTAATTTTTTAGAAAACTGAAATAACCAAGTAACAGTGTCCAAATCAAGGACACAATCAAACAGCAAGTTATAACCAGAAAAAAAAAAAAAACAGTCAAGGCAAAAACACAAAGGGCACAATGATTTACGTGGTTCGGCCAATATGCCTACATCCACGGGTGATGATGTTGGGTTCACTATATGAGATGGTACAAGAATTACATAACACTCTCACACGCCTTCCAATAAGTTTAGGATCGAAAGCAAACTCTACCTCAAACCACAATCAATCCTAGAGAAACTGTTCTAATATAAGAGCAGAAAATCCATGTGTTTCTCTGCACAATCTATGTTATGTTTTTTACTAGCCCCTTGTTATGTATGAAACAAGATTATCTCAAGGCTTAAATAAGTATACAAAGGAAAAACACCATTCTGCACTTAATAAAGAGTTGCCAAATTTGACCAATATTCAACCACCTATTGGTTTCATGACACAATTTAAGCAACATCCTGATGATTATACAAGCTCCCTTTTGAACAAAATTCATAGCGTGATGCCTTAATTTCTGTTTCAAAATTTATATTCTCTCTGTTGTCTTCAAGGCTCATCAAAACTTTTGATGATAACATTGGAATAACGGAGAACATCCTGTGCAAGCTCTGTTATTGTGATATACAATGTTAAGAAAAACTCTGGTAATTGAAAAAAAATAATAACACAAAATGATCTGGATAATTTTCCAAAATAAACTTAGTCATTTTGCAGACTAAAGATTGTCGAGGAGACATTACCTTTTCGACAACGGTGATCTTGTAGATAAAAGAACTAATTCTACAAAGCTTGACATTTGATATAGTGTTGAACTTTCATTACTGCATCAAGAATGAGATATGAACACAAAGTATTACATAATGTAATTGAATATATTAATAGCCAGAAGACAACAACAACAAACCTTTATGAGCTGTAAAAGGATTTTGCTCACTGAATTTGGGGAGAATGGAAGAGCTGACTAACATAATCTGCACAAGGGGCAACAAGAAGATGATAACGGTCAGTATTGCAGATAAAAATAAAGAACATTCAAAAAGAATATGCTTCAAAAATTTCACCAGTTGGTCACTTGTTCTGACTATTTACTCTCTTTCATATCACAAACACCAATGCAATTGACAAATCAAATATCTTCTCTTGTAACACGTAATTGTGATAAGAATTCACAAAAACATAATTGCAAAATATTTAATTTCCAATTTCTTACACAAACAAAAAGACATCCGTAGATAACACAATTTAGCAAACTAAAGTACCTGAATTTGGGATTCTGGAAATTATACTATATCACGATATGAAAGATCCTAAAGGAGCTTAACTATATGCACTATTTCCTTATCAACTTTATGTCAAGAGCCACTTCGAAACTTCGAAATTTTAAGTCATTTTAACAGTTCTATAAGTCAACTTTCAGAGGACTAGCAGAAGGGGTGGTCATCAAGTAGCCGTTGGTTCTGTAGTCATTTTCACTATAGTGAATTCTCTGGGTTCCACTCAGAGAAATGAAATCTAATATTTCATTAATGTGATTAAAAGGCTCGGAATATTGAGAAACGGGTTTGGTACTTTCTGCATATGTTTAATATATTTGCATTTTTTAAATTATAAGTCAACAAGGATAGAAATGAAATACATAGTCGTACTTGTAATTTAGATTTTAAGACCTTAGGTGACCAGTGCATCAAATTGCATTCATGATTTAATTCGAGTTCACCAGCAATAACCTGTAGCCAAGTTGGTCAACAATTTAATAAATAAATACATATAAGAAAAAAACTAGTGAAAAAATTTGATCAAAACCAAAATTGATATGGACAAATGTAACACAATCAAGCAATCATGGCTCATATGCCCCACCTTCAACTCAAAAATATGCGGAATCAAGAGTTCAAGAACATATTCAACCCACTTGTATAAAGTTATTAAGTCAGTGGGTTGATGTGCGGCCTATTCTTATTGTAATAGCGTACACAATAATTCAGAACATTTACTGATAGTTTGGAATAATTCTGCATAGATTCATCCATAGTTAGCCTTACTAATTAATGGTTTTGGAATGTATCTACTTTCATTCACATCTATAGTTAGCTGCATTCTAAAACAAAAATGTGTTCTTAAACATGGCATCCTGACAATCAATGAAACTGTGGTGTAGAGCCTCTATTTGTGACAACTAAGGATGTCGAAAAGAACCCTATCATGTCACAAATCACTGCAAAATTGAACATTGATCATTATCAGAAAGGGAAAGCTGTCAATGCAGAAAAAAGTTTCAAAACCTATCGAGTCAATCATCACTGTAATATGCTGTTAAACACCATAGTTAAACCAAACTCTTGATACCTATTATAACCAAAGTAAAAGCATAAACAATTATTCCATGGTAGCATAGATACTCAAAAGGCACATAAAGATTCATATACCTTGTAGAAGTAAAGAACACACCCTTCTAGCATCAGCAGCCATGGCACGAGCAATAAGAACATTAGCTTTTGTCAGAATATTAACCACCATAGGGGTAGATGGCATATTCAAAACTAGGCAGCACAAAATAATATCTAATAATATCAGTTCATATGAAAACTCATTTTTTTCCTATCAAAATCAGCAATAGATACTAAAAGCCATTGCACCTCATATAGTGAATTACTATCTTCTACAAGTATGCAACAATCTGAATTAACCTAATCAATGGCATCATACTGATCTATTTCATTCCGAGAAGCACAAGGAAATGCAACACCACACCGTTCACACCAAGGTTTTGCTCCATCATAGTACTTAGACCGAGCATAAGTCTTTTAGTAGTCTCTGCAGATGCAACAAATAGATAACATCAATCTAAGAGTATCAAAATTGACAATTTGATAATAGAAGATGTAAGATGAACTGAAAAAACAAAAACAAAAACACACCTCAAACTTCTCTGCTGAGCTTTGATATCCCTCAAAAATGTTATTTTCATGTAATCAAACCCATCCTCATCCACCAAATATCCTTTTGAATCTGTGCAAGACAAGGGCAAATGACTCATTAGAAGTAACTATACTAGAGCCTATTCACTGGAAACGACAGTAAATAACCGATAATCAAGACTGTCTCGACAAACTTTTACAGCCTAAGATTATTATCTATATAAAATCTGCCGAAAGAGTTTTATTTGTTAGGTAGGTAGTTTATGTGCATCTATTAATAAATACCCTCAGCTTAACTAGTCTAGTCTTATTTATATCATAACAAAAAATTTAGCATGCATTGCAAAGGAGCAGCGAACATGCTTTCAGTATAAAGGTTTAGGATGCCATCAGAAATTTTGGAGTAGAAAGATGAAAAGGAAAATTTATAAACTTAGTTTAATCTAGTATCAATACTAATCTTATATTAAGATTCTAACTTCTACAATGTTCACCAAGAACAGAAAAGTACATGACACTATAATGGGGACAGCACCATAGGCAATAAGCTTTTGTAGAACATGCATTGCAATCTTTCCAAAACCACTTACAACACATCTGGACGAGAGATTCATAGAGACTATACTAATGTCAACAAACTTGAAATACAACTTTCAGCAATAAGTAATATTCTAAGTACTTACTAATCGATCAAGCAACAGATAGATGTTACCAAAACAATGAACAAGAGATGCTCAGAAAGGTAACAGTAAAGCAATGTATAGGTTCTATGAATTAGAAACATTAGATCTTAAATGCAAGTCAATAAACCATCAAGTAAAAAATGAATTCAAATTTCTGTCTTATGTTGAATACAGTAAAATAAGTCTACATTAAGGTCATGCGTTATCAATTCTAGTACGCATAAAATGTAATAATAGAAAGCTGAGTGAGGAACCTCAGTCCCTTGAGCTGCTTATTCATGTCTGCATTCTGCAAGGATAAGCTGGGCAAAGAAAATCTGCAAAAAAATTGGCCTTGATAAATTACCAGATGTTTAAAACAAGGGATAAAAAAAATAATAAAAAAATCATTTGCCCATGATAGCAGAGTCAGAAAAAAATGTGTGCATTCTCACATTTCTTCACTTTAGTTCCTACACGCCCAGCTACACAAAAATAGAATCAAAGAGTTGAAATAAAATATTAATTACCAGCCCATAGCCAGTAGCTTCAGTTCGAAGGCTAGAACCAGACAAAAATATCCTTGGCCCTTTAAGACTTCCCTACATAAAGCATACATATGAAGCAAAAAGTGAAGTCTTAATCTTATGAAAGTGCTCATTGACAGAAAAAAATGCAAACAACCACTCATAATTAAAGAAATGACTCCAAAAATAATAATAATGAAAAATAACAGAGAATAATGGGGATATAAGAAGAAAAATACAACATAAATTCAACATGTCAGACAGCCTCTTTCAAGTGTTTTTAACTACCTGAAAATGACCAGCGAGACGTCTATATTGCCCAAAGAGAAATCCCATCTCACAGGTGCCAACACCAGCTCTTCTGATGGAAGATACTAAAATTACACAAAACAGTAAATAAGGCATGGAGAAGTGGGTCATACAACTCAGAGACTTCAAAACAGATTAAAGATGAAAAGGAGGTCTTCTTAAGTTACCTTGTCGGAACCCAGATATCTATAGATCTCATTCATGAAACTTTGGCAAAAGTGCATGATCTGCCGGTTTCACCAAGAACTGTAAGACAAACTTTCGGAATTTCTTAGAAGGTTCTTACAGAAATACCATCTTAACATAAAACAAAGATCTTACCTCATTATCACTTTTTCCTTTAGGATCATAATCACTTCCACCTGCTGCCCCTCCAAGTTTGTATGGTGATAAAGCATTCTTTTATGTCTGTAAAACGAAGAAACTATAATACTGTACAGGAGTTGAAGCACTTAAACAATTTTCAATTATATTATAAACTATGAAAGCTGTTTTGTGTTTATACAAAAATTTTGAAACAACTCCGAACTCCAAGCCCAAATGCACCCTCTCATATGTTCAAACACTCTTATCTACAAACTTGAGTTTTGTTCTGCTCGTGCTTGAATTGATTCAGAAACTTAGAGATTTCATTGCACTAGTTATATTTATATTGATCACTATTCCATGTCACAGTTTACACCACAAATGTCTTGTGTGAAAGCCCCAACTACATTGAAGGCCTGTGAAAAAGTATGGAACAACAGGCGAAAGACATGCTCCCTCAAGCATGGCATTTATTAACCATGTAACGAAGTCAAGAAAGGAGAGAATGATTTTTAGTCTTGTCACTCTGATCAAGAATATCACAAATATGCCTCATTAATCACAATAATAAGAAATCACAAATAACCAAAAAGTTAAAAAAGAAAGAAAGGGAAGTGAAGATGAAAAATTACCTGATGATGGGAAAAGAAAAGGAAGAAGGACCACATTCTGCCAACTATTGAGCTTGTATCATGCATCACTACTGCTCAAGAAAACCACAAAGAGTTAGAAGTCCTATTGGAGTGTTGTGACACCTTGATGCCTGATGCTAAGAATCGCTTTCAGAACTTAGAAGATACCTTGTGTGCATGAGATAACAAAACAGAAAATTAAAAGAACTGATAGCATTATGAAAGTTTTTGCTTTAAAGTGGTTTTTAAAACAAGATTTAAAACAATTTGATGCAAATCCAATGAACCAAGAATAATTAAAACAAGGGAATCACCTTATTTCATAGTTTGTCTGAACATCATTTCTTCAAAAAAGAATTTGATATCTAACTAAATGGCCCAAAAGAAAACATAACTTCTATCATGAAATTGCTTTACGTGGAGAATAAGAGAAGGAACCATAATTTGTTATTGAAACATAACAAACCTTTTTCCTTTAATCGCTTCTCCTAACTTCTTTGTTCTATTCCATCCTTGCTCCTCGAGTCCAATGTCTACTAGACTGTTCCGTGTTCTATTCACATAAACAACATAAATAACAGGTATGAGTATCTCAAAACGAGATTATAAATATATTTACTTAATGACTTATGATTAATTAGACAAACAGAAACTTAAATACCATGTAATTTCTGAACAAGGCATTTGTCCATCCCTTAAGAGTAAGTATTTTGCTTCATCACTTCTCCCACCTTTGTACATTCTCTTTTCTTGTCGTAGTCCTGAACAAGTAAATTCCCAACTCTTATGACTGTGATTCACATAAATGACCTAAAAGGCAAGAATGATTTTCTGAGAGGCAAATTTATTCTGTCAACTGATTTATGATGATTAGGCAAACAAGAATATCATGTCCTCCCTGTTGTACTTTGGCATCATCCCGCCAATGAACTGGATTTTAACTATTTCACAGTAATTAAGAAGTCTGCAGTTTCTTCAAAGTAACGAAAGGAAATATCAAATTAATGAAACTTAGAAGAACAATTTTACAGTTATATACAACAATTAAATCAGAGCAAAAGCAATATCAGAACTGATGATGTCAACAACTTTGGACTAGGATCTGAATTTATTGTAGCGCCTGCAACATTCAGGAAATGAGAAATCCTTAGCTAAAACTTAAAGAACCAGCACATAATAACATAATCAAGCTTTAGCCAGCAAAGTTTGATACCTTTGGGTGCAAAATAATGGCCAAATCATCTAAAGTTGCAAGCTGATTTTGACGCATCGCATGAGCAAAAGATATCAAACTCATATGAAAAACTCACTACTTGTCCGTATAAATCATCAGTGATTCTGCCCAAACTCCTCTTGATGTAAGAAAAAGCGCCTTTTTCCTGATTCTTGTCATTGCTCTGTGCATCATAAGGAAGATCATCTTCAATAATATGCATAATTATAAAAACAATCAACCTCTTGATAGATGGTGCAATTGAAGAAATACTAAACATCTCAAAGACTTGAATTCCGTGTTGCAAGTATATTAAAAAACTCACCAAACGAATTCTGTAAATGAGGTATCCGTAACTCTACCAAAACTCTGTTTCGTAAGAGAACATGCAGCTGTTTCCCCTGATTCTGGTCATATTGCTGCTCATAACGCTGGAAGGCCATCCTCAATAGTATGCATACAATATAAACAAGCAGCCTCTTGACAAGATGAGGCAAAATAAGAAACACCAAACATCTCATGACTTATTTGGATACCATGTTGCTAGCATATGTGTATTATTTTGGCTTTATTCCTCCATTGGACTGCATTTTGTTGTGGCTGCAGCATTTGAGAAGTCTGTAATTTTCACAAGGTAACAAAAATAAATATGAAATTAAAAAAAAAGAAAAAAATTAGAATGACAAGCATTGGTTGCATAAAACAGCTATAACTGATAAATGAAGACAAAGAAAGAGCTCAATTTGCTAAACAAAGTACCTAAACATGGTTTGGAAATCATCCATAACTATATGTGAAACTTGGGGCTAAGATGCTTTAGAAACTCTCCATTTTTATCGCATTTATAGCTTCCCAAGATTTACAAGAACTGGTGATTTCAACAACATTGCAATGGGATCTCCAAAATTAATCTAGACCCTGCCAAATTCATAAAATGAAAAAGTGTTAGCCAATACAAACAGAACAAAACCCAAATATAAAATAAAGGGTTTGCCAGCCAAGTTTAAACCTCCAATTGCAGAACAATAGCCAAAGTAGAGAGAGCTGTGATCTGATTTCAGTTAAAGATCCCTGTTACTCCTATCAAGAAAGGATCATCTCAAGATGCTAGGATCTAACTGAGAAAGTTTAGCAACCACCATCTGCAATGACTTGTATAGATATAAAACACAAAGGTTTAATCAACAGCCCAGGCACGAGGGTCATCAGTCAAATACTTCTTTCATTATCTGTTGAGAGAGATGGGAAAGCTGAAATTACTTCCCAATGCCATAGCTTCCCAGGCTTTCTGTCACCAACACACAGAGTGAAAATCGATTTCAACCTAAAAAGAACAAGTGATAGCATTCCTACCATTATTATTAGAAAAATAATAAAGCCACCAATCCAAACATTTGAAGCAGTTTAAATGACTCTTTGCCATCTACTTGAGTAAAAATACAGAAAATTATGTTAAATTAAAATATTTAATCTTTAATTTCTCACATTCTGTTTCTATAACAATAAAGTGATAATGAATTACATCAAACGTTACTAATACTCTCAAAGTGTGTTTCTTCACTGAAAATAAAAACCAGGAAGCATGACGAAGCCAAAGTTTTCTTCAACAACGCAAACAAAGATAACTGTACTTTACCATTAAGTTGAAGAGTCTCTGAAGCAACACCACCCCACACCATGGCTCCAAGTCCTCCATTACCAATCGGAATCGCATCGGTCTAATGCTTGGCGGGCCCACTAAACATAACCTTCAACGGCTTAGAACTCTCTCCTCCATCTCCAAATACTCGGGTTCCACAAGTCTCTCTCTGTGGCTCACCGCACCAGAACCCACTAAACCAAACCCAGAAAAAGGGGAAAAAACGATATCAACACCCATCACCAAATATTCTTCGGGGAAATTGCTGACACAACAATTCCACCGAAGAATATTGAAGACGATCGAAAAAACAAAGCGAAGATTAGAATATTGAAGACGACGAATGACGATTGACACAGAAGAGAAGAATGAAGTGTAGTTGGGTTTAATCAATATTAGAAAATTATGAGAATTTTAATAATATTTGTTTTTAAGACAATTTCAACCAAATTTTAATATTTTTTAAACAAGACAAAACATCTTCGTATTTATATGTACCAAAACAATTTTGCATTTATTTAAGTTATGTAAATCAAACTTTTCATGGATAAAAATAAAAATAAATAAATTAAATTGATATTTTGCATTTATTTAAGTTGTCCAAATACTTTTATCAATTTTCTTTTATTATAATTTTGCATGTCTTTAAAAAATATTATAATAAATGCAAAATATCATGTTTTTAAAAATTATAAATAAGTTTTTCATGCATAAAAATAAATAAATTAAATTGATCAGACAATTAGTTAAATAACCAATGTAATCATCTAAATAAGAGTAATAAACAAAACATTATAATAAGAATAATAACCAGTTTTAAGACATGATATAACCAATGTAATCCTCTAAATGAGAGTCCTCCCGAAAATAATAAAAACAAAATATTCATCCATGAAAATAATAAACATTATTGTAATATAAGATTTTGAATTACAAAAAGGAAAAGGGGAATGAATTTACCAATGGCTGAATAGCAATTGCATCTCTCACGTTGGAATATACCAATGACGGATAGAGACTTTTGGAATGTGAGAGATCTTGCTCCTATCATCTCCTGTCTCCTTGTAACGTTCTTTCAGAAAAGGGCAAGAAAGAATCTCTAATTGCTGCAGTGTTGGTGTTTGAAGAATTTGCTCTGGCAGTGCCTTTAATTCATAACACTCTTTAATTAACAAAGAATGAAGACATGGCATGATTGTAATATCCTTGTCTCTACTATTTGTAATCTCATGATTCCACTCTTCCCATTCTTTTAACCATTCGAAATGGAGGAATTTCAATTTGGGAAAGGCAACAATTGATGATGTGCCATCATTTTCTATTCCCAAAAATTCATTACCCACTCTTTTTATACTATTCATTCTATATATCAAGAGTGATTCAAGGGATGGTAGTTTTCCCAAAGGAGGTAAATGCTCACACTTGTCGCAATAAAAAAGCCCTAACTCCTTCAACTTGATTAATGATACCATCCAATCAAAAGACATGGATTTGCCTCCAAAGCGATGTATATGTAATTTCTCTAAATTTGGAGGTGGTTGTAATGCTTCAATAATCATTACATTCTCCTCATTTCTGCTTCTCTCCTGATAGTCAATATGAGTATAAAATGATAAAGTCAAATGAAGGAGATTTTTGGTACTCTGAAAATCTGCAAGTTTAAGTGCATTACTATCCCTCACATTTACCAACTCTAACTCTAAAGATGGGCCATGTTTCAAGTTCTTCAAAGAATCAAGACTTCTTAGACTAGTGCATGCTTTGTTACCATAATCATAATCACCATTAATTACGAATTTATTTAATGTCTTTAGACAACTCAATCTCTCTACTCCTTTTGGAATGTACCTTAATGACCTTGTCCCACCAATTAATAGATGCCTCAAATTAACTAACTTTCCTATCCCTTGGGGTAGCTTTCTAATTTTTTCACAACTAGTGACATCCAAGGTTTGTAGATTATATAAATCACACAATACCTTAGGCAATCTTTTTATATGATAATTCTTCTCCAACTTAAGGTACCTCAAATGCACTAGATATTTTATTCCTTTTGGAATTTTACGATCATAGCGACTCAAATTTAATGTCCTCACACATGTTAATTGCTTAACATATCTGAATAAGTCTCCTTCATAAAAGTTTGCCCTCTCAACTATAAAGGTACGCAATTTTTTTAGATTAAGAATAGATCTAGGAATTGACCTACTACTTCTTACATATAAATGTGGAACACTTTGATAAGAAATCTCTAATTGAGGAATTGAATCACTCTCAACTTCTATGGCAAAACATTCATTCTTTGAAAGAAATTGAACAAAGTCATGCACTATATCATGCATCTTGCATCTTATAATACTACCATCATATTCACTTCTTTCAAAATCTTGAAACAAAGAACGCATTACTAAATTTTCAAAATATTCTTCACCAACTAATTCCATTTCTTTGGTTCCTTCTACCTTAAGAAAACCTTGGGCCATCCATAACTTGATCAATATATCTTTCTCTATCACATAATCCTTTGGAAATATGGCACAATATGTAAAGCATTTTCTAAGTTTGGAAGACAAATCATAATAGCTCAAGAGGATTGGGGGGAAGAGCTCTTTTTCTATCTCTTCTAATTTCCATAAATCACTATCTAAGACACTCTGCCATTGTTCAGCTTGAGTTTTTAAACTCAAGAGACTTCCTAAAGTCTTTATAGCAAGAGGCAAGCCATCTCACTTTCCTACAATCTTTCTACCGATCTCTTTTAAATTTTCAAATTCTTTCTCTGTTTTTCCAAAAAATGCAATTTTTCTAAATAACAACCACGATTCCTCATCACCTAATTTTCCTATTGGGATGTTTTTGGTGCTTTTCATTATTTTTGCAGTAATCTCTTTACGTGTGGTCACCAAAATTCTACTCCCTTGAGAAGCAGACTCAAGAGCAATCTTAATTTGTTCCCATTTCATAAAATCCTCAAGCCACACATCATCTAAAACAAGAAGAATTTTCTTGTCCTTAATAGATTGACATAACTCTTGTAACATATTTTGTAGTTCATCTTTATCTTTTTTTTCACCTGGAAGAGATTCAAGAATTGCTTTGGCAATTCTCATCTCATCAAAAGGATCAGAGACACACACCCAAATTTTCTTGTCAAAATGGGTGTTGACCTCTTCATCATTAAAAACTAATTGAGCTAGAGTTGTTTTTCCAATCCCTCCCATCCCTACTATAGAAATGGTAGAGACGGTTGATTCTTGACTGCTCTCAGCTAACAAGCAGTTTTTTAATGTATTCTTATCATGATCTCTTCCATGGACCTCTGGTAAATTAATAAGAGAGGTAGTCATTTGGTGCTCTGGTTGTGTAGTGCCAGTAGTCAAGCTAAAATTGAAACTATTCTTTACCATGGCAATAACACTGAGTGTTTCATTTATATCTTTTATCTTGATAGCAATTTCATGACGCAGGGAAACTTTCTTGTAACAAAAGCAATGAGACGAGACACAGGAACATACCTTTTTCCAAAGCTTGGAAGCATTCTCGGCTTCCTTCATTTGAACTTTTTTGCTAGCCGTGATCCACTCATCCAACACATCCTCGATGTCATATGAGACGCCTTGTAGCTGATCCAACCAAGTTCGTACACTCCTCTCCTTCACTTGTCTATTCTCCGCGTCTTCAATCACAGCTTGAATGGCCGTGAAATAGAGAGTGAGCTTTCTAACTTCGTTATCAACACCCTGAAGGAGGGTCAGCTCTTGAGTTGTTAGTGAAGCCAGTTGACCCAGGATTTTGGAGATAAGCTCTTCAGCCATGATCAAAGATGGTAATTGCTTTAAGATATTGAAATAGTTGGAGTGTTTAATTGTGTTGTGAAAATTCTAGCCTTCCATTTGTTATTTATAGCCCAAAAAAAGGACCACAGAATCTTTCACCAGATGACTCTAATCAACATGTTGCTTTGATGGTAGTTAAGGTACAAACTTTTCTCCAAGCAAAAGCAATTCTCATATTCTTTTCTTTCTTCATATCCAACAATGTTAGCACATTCTTTGCTTTCATGGTAGTTAAATTATAGTGTTGGTATCATTTTAGTTTATTAAATTCCCCTTGTTTTCTCTGTGTTATTATAAAGTGAATGATTATGTGAAATGATAATGTATGATAGACTGTCACTTTGTTTATCTTCTAAAAATTCCAGAAGGAAATCCACCATAAAACAATTTTAAGTTCTTTCATTGTTATAATCCCCCCTGTTTTCTCTCTATTATTCTAAGGTGAATTATCTTCAGCTTTATAGCTAGTATAACTACAATGAAAATGAATTTTTCAGCTTCAATCTAAATTATAATTAGACCCACCATTTGTCAAAGCATATATTGATCTCTTCACAACAATCTAAAATGGTTATTAGTTTAGAAATTGTAAAAAAAAGTATTCCTTTCACTTTATATATATAGGACGCAAAGAATCCTTCTTGTTGCTTTGATGTTAGTAAAGGTATGTTTTTTTTTTTATATTTTTTAATTTTTTATTTTTTTTTTTTTTTATATTTTTTTTTTATTATTTTTTTTTTCCTTTATTTTTTCTCTTTTATTTTTTATTATTTTTTTTTTTTTTTATTTTAAATTTTTTTTTTCTTTTTTTTTTTTTTTCTTTATATATACACACATAAAAATTTTTTTTTTTTTTTTTTTTTTTTTTTTTTTTTTATTATTTTTTTTTTTTTTTTTATTTTTTTTTTTTTTTGTGTTTTTTTTTTTTTTTTTTTTAATATATATTTTATATTTTGTGTTTTTATATTTTTTATTATTTTTTTTTAGTTGTTTATTTTTTTTTTTTCTTTTTTTTTAAAAATTTTTTTTTTGTTTTTTTCTCTTATTTTTTATTGTTGTTTTTTTCTTTTTTCTTTTTTTTATTTTTTTTTTTTTTTTTTTTTTGTTTTCTCTTTTTTTTTTATTTTTTTTTTTTTTTTTTTTTTTTTTTATTATTTTTTTTTTTTTTTTTTTTTTTTTTTTTTTTTTTTTTTTTTTTTTTTTTATTTTTTTTTTTTTTTAGTTTTTTTTATATTTGTTTTTTTCTTTTTTTTTTATATATTTATTATTTTTTTTTTTTTTTTTATTTTAAAATTTTATTTTTTTTTTTTTTAATTTTGTTTGGGTATAATTTACTCTCAAAAGTTAGCTCAAGTGAGGAGTGAGTTCAATTATTTATATACACTATAACAATCTACTATTGGTTCGATGTTGGACAAATTCAACTTTTAACACCCTCTCTTATTCTCGGTGTGCAATTCTTGGGTCCTAACTCATCATCGCCCTAACCAAAGAAGGGAGATAAATAAACTTGATTTTGATATCATGATAAAGTTGACTTGGGTAGAATTTACTCTCAAAAACTTGCTCAATTTAGGAGTGAGTCCAATCACTTATATACACTATAACAGTCTACTATTGGGGCGATATGGAACAAATTCAACTTCTAACAATGTTTTCTTTATATTTGATTAACTAATGCAATCCCAAGAATTTATCATCACTTGGTTACTGATATTATGTTTGAAGCACCAGAAATTAGAAACCTCATGCTAGTCACTAAATTTCTTTTTTTTTTTTCTTTTTATCTTCATTTTTAGACTTTCTTTTTTGCTCTTTCCTTTTCACTCAATAATGTCTTCTCAATGCTTATAACAAATGTTTCAGGTTACCATTTACTTGTTTTTCAGTTTGAGTTTTCATATAAGGAGATAATGCATGTTGGCATCGATGCATTTTTGAAAGTGAAGATTGCTTTATGTGATGTCTCAAGGTTTTTGCGTGTATAGTATAACAAGGGGAAAACTGTCATTTGACATGTTTCTCAGTTGAAGGCACTTATTGTATGAATTGAATAATATTACTTTGTACCTTAGAATTTGCTGTTTATTATGTTTATTACCTGAAATTAGAGTTGAATGATTAGTGTTGAAAAAGTCAGATATGCCCTCTACCGGTAAATTTCACAATCTGTCAAGTTGAAGGAGAATAATTACCTCATATTTCTATCAATCGTTGATCATAAATAATGAACAATCTTCAGTTTCCCTAACACAGCCATACAATGGATAGTTGAATTTTATTGCCAATGTCACTAAACAGGTATTTTACAGTGTTGCAATAAAAAATTGAGAGAGAGCTCTTACAGACTAACAAACAAAAATATTTCTGGAAACAAATCTAAAGACACTTCCTATTCTACTACTAACTAGACATTGTTTTAAATAAATCATGTGTATGATGATCAAATCTCCACATTTTTTTGGAAGAAACAATTACATTACATATATGTTACAAAGTATTTTGATCATAGAACTTCCCTGCCCCCGCGTGCAAATGTCCAAGCTTGGTGATAGATGTTGATCAATAGAAATCCAATTAGGGGAGCATACAAAGAACTGTACATCGTTCTTGTGTTCTATACGCACCCTTGGTCGGTCATAGCTTGTGCGATAGTCAGAAAAGCTGAGATGACTGCTCCATGTACCAAAGCCCTGGCAAACCATTGAAGAAAATAAGAATGCCAGACATCTCAAAAAACCACATATTGTCACGACAATACAATATGATATCCGCTCAGTATAAGCTTGAAGGATTTATAAGTTTAGTTCACAGAAAACATTATAGTTAAAGAACGCCATAGCAGAGTAAATCTCTGCCTCAGCACTCACTCTGGACTCTCCTTCTGATAGCCAACATCAGTTGCAGCTTTGAGGGCTCTCTGGTATGTCTGTTTCATTGCTTCCTGTAAGAATATGAAGAGTCCCCATCAAATATAATGATGTCTGTTTAGACTTGTTAACTTAATTATGGTTAATACTACAGCACGATATGAAATATCCTAAAGGAGCTTAACTGTATGCACTATTTCCTTATCAACTTTATGTCAAGAGCTACTTTGAAACTTAGATAATTTAAGTCATTTTAACAGTTCTAAAAGTCAACTTTCACAGGACTCGCAGAAGGGGTGGTCATCAAGTAGCAGTTGGTTCTTTAGTCACTTTCACTATAGTGAATTCTCTGGATTCCATTCAGAAAAATATAATCTAATATTTCATCAATGTGATTAAAAGGCCGGGAATATTGAGAAATGGAGTTGGTATTTTCTGCATGTGCTTTAATCTATTTGCATTTTTGAAGACACAAGTCGACAAGAATTGAAATGAAATTCATAGTTGTACCTGTAATTTAGATTCGAAGTCCTCAGGTGACCAATGCATCAAATTGCACTCATGATTTAATTCGAGTTCACCAGCAACAACCTGTCGCCAAGTTGGTCAACAATTTAAAAAATAAATACATATAAGAAAAAAACTAGTGAAAAATTTTGATCAAAACCAAAATTGAAATGGACGAATGTAACGCAGTCAAGCAGCCATGGCTCATATGCCCCACCTTCAACTCAAAAATATATGGAAACAAGAGTTCAAGAACATACTCAATCCACTTAAATAAAGTTATTAAGTCAGTGGGTTGATGAGTAGCCTATTCTTATATGGCTACGTAATAGCATATCCAATAATTCAGAGCATTTACTAATAATTTGGAATGATTCTGAATAGATTCATCCATAGTTAGCCTTACTAATTAATGGTTTTGGAATGTATCTACTTTCATTCACATCTATAGTTAGCTGCATTCTAAAACAAAAATGTGTTCTTGAGCATGGCATCCTGACAATCAATGAAACTGTGGTGTAGAGCCTCTATTTGGTGACAACTAAGCATGTCCAAAAGAACCCTATCATGTCACAAATCACTGGCCATCGATTCCATGGTAGCATAGATACTCAAAAAGGTACATAAAGATTCATATGCCTTGTAGAAGTAAAGAACACACCCCTCCAGCACCAGCAGCCATGGCAGGAGCAATAAGAACATTAGCTTTTCTCAGAACATCAACCGCCTCAGGGATACATGGCATATTCGAACCTAGGCAGCACATAATAATATATAATAATGTCAGTTCAAATGAATATACTCATTTTTTTCTTATCAAATCAGGAATAGATACTAAAAGCCATTGCATCTCACATAGTGAATTACTACCTTCTACAAGTATACGACAACCTGAATTAACCAAATTAATGGCATCAGACTGATCTATTTCATTCTGGGAAGCACAAGGAAATGCAACATCACACCTTTCACTCCATGGTTTTGCTTCATCATAGTACTTAGACCGAGCATAAGTCTTTGAGTAGTCTCTGCAGATGCAACATGTAGATAACATCAATCCAAGAGTATCAAAATTGACAATTCGATAATAGAAGATGCAACATGAACTGAGGAAAAAAAAAACAAAAACTCACCTCAAACTTCTCTGCTGAGCTTTGATATCCCTCAAAAATGTTATTTTCATGTAATCAAATCCATCCTCATCCACCAAATATCCTTTTGAATCTGCACAAGACGAGGGCAAATGACTTATCAGAAATAACTATACCAGTGCCTATTCACTGAAAAAGATAGTAAATAACTGATAATCAACACTGTCTCAACAAACTTTTACAGCCTAAGATTATTATCTAAAAAAAATATGCCAAAAGAGTTTTAATTGTTTGCTTGGTAGTTTATGCGCATCTATTAATAAATACCCTCAGCTTAACTAGTCTGGTCTTATTAATATCATAACAAGAAACTTTGCATGTATTGCAGAGAAGCAGCGAACATGCTCTCAGGATAAAGGTTTACACTACTATCAGAAATTTTGGAGTAAAAGATGAAAAGGAGAATTTATAAACCTATGTTAATCTAGTTTCGACACTAATCTTACATTAAAGTTCTAACTTCTACAATGTTCACCAAGAACAGAAAAGTACCTGACACTGTAATGGGGACAGCACCATAGGCAATAAGCTTTTCTAGAACATGCATTGCAATCTTTCCAGAACCACTTACAGCACATCTGGATGAAAGATTCATAGAGACTATATTAACATCAACAAACTTAAAATACAACTTTCGGCAATAAGTAATATTCTAAGTACTTATCAATTGATCAAGCAATAGATAGATGTAACCAAAACGATGAACAAGAGATGCCCAGAAAGGTAACAGTACAACAATGTATAGATTCCATGAATTAGAAACATTAAATCTTAAATGCAAGTCAATAAACCATCAAGTAAAAATTGAATTCAAATTGCAGTCTTATGGTCAATACAGTAAAATAAGTCTACATTAAGGTCATGAGTTATCAATTAGTAAGCATAAAATGTAATAATAGGAAGTTGAGTGAGGAACCTCAGTCCCTTGAGCTCCTTATTCATATCTGCAAGAATAAGCTGGGCAAAGAAAACCTACAAAAGAATGGGCCTTGATAAATTGCCAGATGTTTAAAACAAGGGATAAAAAAAATAAAAAAAAGAATAAAATATCATTTGCCCATGATGGCAGTCAGAAAACAAATGTGTGCATTTCACATTTCTTCACTGTAGTTCCTATACACCCACCCACACCAAAATGGAATCAAAGAGTTGAAATAAAATATTAATTACCAGCCCATAGCCAGTAGCTTCAGTTCGAAGGCTAGAACCAGACCAAAATATCCTTGGCCCTGTAAAACTTCCCTGCAGAAAGCATACATATGAAGCAAAAAGTGAAGTCTTAATCTTATGAAAGTGTTCATAGACTGAAAACAATGCAAACCACTCATAACTAAAGAAATTATTCCAAAAATAATAATAATGAAAAATAACAGAGAATGATGAGAATATAAGAAGAAAAATACAAGATAAATTCAACATGTCAAACAGCCTCTTTCAAGTGTTTTTAAGTACCTGAAAATGACCAGCAAGACGTCTATATTGCCCAAAGAGATACCCCATCTCGCGGGTGCCAACACCCATCTCTTCTGATGGAAGATCCTAAAATTACACAAAACAGTAAATCAGGCATGGAGAAGTGGGTCATACAACCCAGAGACTTCAAAACAGAATAAAGATGAAAAGGAGATCTTCTTAAGTTACCTTGTCGGGACCCAGATATCTATAGATCTCATTCATGAAACTTTGGCAAAAGCGCATGATCTGCCAGCGTGGGTTTCACAAAGAACTGTAAGAGAAACTTTCAGAATTTCTAAGAAGGTTCTTACTGAAATGCCATCTTAATATAGAACAAAGATCTTACCTCATTATCACTTTTTCCTTTAGGATCAAAATCACTTCCGCCTGCTGCCCCTCCAAGTTTGTATGGTGATAAAGCATTCTTTAATGTCTGTAATAAGAAGAAACTATGATACTGTATAGCAGTTGAAGCACTTGAACAATTTTCAACGATATTATAAACTATGAAAGCTATTTTTGTTTGCTAACATCTATGAAATTATTTTTATGATCATATAATTATTTATCTATTCATTTTCAGGCAGCACTAATTCAGAAAGTGGCCTGTTATATAAAAAGAGAGCTTTCATAAATCACTTCAACTGACATTGCAAGTCGACCGAAAATTATAAAGATAAAGAACTATTAAGTTAAGGCATAAAGTAGGGACACTGAACTATCAAGGAGTCAAGGAACATTAACACCAGACTTAAGATAGTACCTGCTCAAAACCAAGAAATTTGGCAATGCTTAAGTTCATTAAAGGATGAAAGCGGATACCACCCCTGCATGGACCCAATGCCTGGTTAAATTGTACCCGAAAGCCTCGACTAACATGAGTCTCACCCCTGTCATCCACCCATGGAACTCGGAAAACAATCATACGCTCTGGCTCTAACAACCGCTCCATGATGTTGACGTAACTGAAAATCAATTATGGAAAATAAAGAGATCGGTGATATGCTCAACTATAGACTCCTTTCTTTGGAATAAGATATTACAACATGATACACTTCATATCAACGGAACTCACTGGGAATTTTTTGCAATCACTCTTTCTAAAGCATGAACAGCTTCTTGCACAGATTGTATGAACTCGACCTCATGAGGATCCCTTTTCAATGCAGCTTCGACAATTGATCCAGCCGTTTTTGACATAAGAGCTTCATTAGTTGTAAAAAATGTCAGACTGCAGTCTTAAGGAACACAGTGGTATGAAAATTTATAACTGTGTAATAGTGTTAAGAGGATATAAAATGTTAATGCAAACATCAAAATCATTATGGATGTAACTAGATTGATGTTTCACATCTGAATTTTTGGTGCACAAGACAGAGAATGAGCTAAAAGAGCCTCAAACTGTTCATTTTGGTGTACACAAACTTTATCATGCAGACGTAATATTAAGAATGCTCAATTTCAGTCTATTGATAACTTTTTGCTGCAAAATTTATTATTATTAACGAAAGGAGAAAACATTTAGCAACTAGTGAGATGCAAAACCAATTCCTTTTCAAGTAGCATATTCATATATCTAAAATCAGAAAGGTTCACTATCCCCTGCAGATTATTCATAAAATCACTTATGTTTTTAAAATTCTTATCAATATATTTGAACTCAAACAAACTTCATCTTTTGTAAAAGCAGAAGCAATATTGGAGCGACTCTTCATGCAATAAAAATTCATAATATTCAATGACTCAATGGTGAATGCTTTCAGTTTCCACACAAGCCCACAAGATATATCAGAATGGGATGGCAGACCTTTTACATAAATGGGTTTGTCAACAATAATTTTATCCTTGGATGCCATCTGAAGACGAAGAGCCTCTTTGTGAAGCAAACTGTTGTTGTGTTCTTCAAGTGCACTCATCTGCATATTCCTACTACCCTCATTCCCATAAGGATTCCTTCTATGCTTCCTACCATACTCTCTGCAAATGGAGCAGAATATCCTTGGTGTTCCTTCTTTCACATCAACATATGCCCACTTGTAGGTATCAGCCCATTCTTCCCTCCACCTTTTCACAACTTTTTTCTTCCTTTTTGCTGGTTGCGTCTTTGACATATCTTGATCATCACTGGGGAGTTGAGAAACCATCCCCATCTGCTTGGTATCATCATGCTCGTCAGCAGTCGGCTCACGAGGGCCCCCTATGAGAGGAGTATTAGCAAATGATGGGTCATCATCCCCTGGTCCAATTTCCAGATCAATCTCCTCTCCAAGCTCTCTGACAACCAGGTGGTGCCTTTGTGCCTGCTGAATCAAGTTCATATCATCCATAGTGGAATTCATCCCTAATCCACCTACCGGCAGCAACATTCAGCATGACAATATTACCCACACCTCAAATTCACAGTACTCCGCAGTCTGTTACCACAAACACACTTCATAGATTTTCATTTGGCCTTAACAACAAATCCTCAAAAATCATAGCAAAGAAAAATAAATATATAAATACTTCTAAAACGAAACAGCATAAATCATAAATTGAATACTTCTTAAATCTTTTCCTTCACCTCCGTAGAAACTAAAGGCGGCATCAGTACTAAGACAAAAACCAAATATGAAATCCAACAATATAACACCATATTCTCTAAACTAATCAACGACAAAAAACTCCCAGTAAGTTATATCATTAACACTTACTTATCTCATAATTACTTCAAGCAGAAAACAGTTGGTTTATTTAGTTAATTATGCAATCCAACTTTCATTAATTTCTTCTTCACTGTTCGGCAAACATTCCAACAGTCCCTCAAACACTCCCTAAAACAAAAACTAAACGCATTTCTCACTCAATCACAAAATTAAAATCAAACACAACAACAATTCAAAGCTTATCAAAACCCCCGAAAGAAAACCAACCCCAGAACTGAACAAGTAACAAAAATCAAATTCTGAGCAATACCCAGAAGAGAATTTTGAGTTTTGATCAATACCCAGATGATAAAATGACGAGAAACCGTAAAATACCTGAAGAATCCAACGAAAAGTTGAGAGCTTGAACAAGAAATAACCAAGTTTTTTAGAGTAAAAACTGGTTCCTATAATCTTGTCGCTTCTGAAATTAAACTTCTGCACTTGCTTTGCTCAGAGGTGTTGCTGATCAGAGTCCTCAGAGCCTCTGTGATCGTGCGTGTGAGTGAATTTACGGAGAGATTTTAGAAGCAGAGAAAGAGAACATTTTTATTATCTGTTGTGTCTCAGTGGGTGGTTTTTTTTTTTTTTTTAATTTTTTTAATATTTAATATTTAATTTAATTTAATTATTTAATTAAATAAAGTTACTATAATTGTGTTGGTTTACAAATTGGGAAAATAATTGATATTTGGCCAATTTGGCGCGTGTAATTCACCTCTCAAGTATCCTTTTATGTTTGCCAGGATTGGTCTTTTGTTGAGATGGCTTAGCTTATTGGCATGGCAGCGATCTCTTCTTGAGCATAAGTCGCCCATCTGTTTTGAAAATGAATAATATTTACATATTTTTAGTAATTTTTTTAATAAACTTCATGTCATTGCATAGGAATACATGTGTAGCATAAATATATATAATTTTTTTATGTCCGGAATAGCTTACACACATCTCAATTAATCTTCCGAAATCCTGAAACTATCGACCAGGGTAAGAACTCCAATGCATACACTATTAACAATCAATGAGAGACTCAAACTCCAGAGCTTTTAAGAAATACACACAAAAATCCTTATTGAACCACTCGATCATCTAGAGATAGTTATGTCTAACATATTTAACTTTGAAAAATGGTTTAACTATATTTTTAACTCTTAAAATTTACTTGCCAAGAAGCAACATTTAGATTTTAGATCACTCATGCATCATATTCTAAAGATGGTAATTGGAATATGACTCATGAGTGGAAAGTGGAAAATACTATTGTACTTTCCTAGGTAGTCCATTAGGGGATCAATAGGATCCAAGGATTCAAAGTGTCAAGCTCTCTCAAAGCTCTAGTAGAAAGTAGAAACATTGAATTAGCCTTTGATAATTTAGGGTTCTCTATCTTCTAATATTGGTACATTTGAAAGAAAAAAATTAGATGAAGTTCTACTTTCAAAGCACATGCAAACCAATTTTAGCAAGTTCTTCCTTCAAAAATAAGGCTTTCCAAGTATACATTATTTGGTAAGCAAGCCATCAATTTCGGACAAAACACCCATCTGGCCTTAAATCTGAATTGCGGCAGGACAAGGTTGTACAATCCTGTTTCTGATCAATAATGTCATGTAATTGTTCTGATATTGATCTTCCTTGGCAAAAAATTAATTCCATTATAAATGTAAATTACAACCACTACTATGATTGTCACTGTTAGTCCAACATATCTTACAAGGGTGATTCCCATATCTTTTGTCCAACTTTACAAGAGGTCAATGTAATTAACCTGAAAAATCATTTCTGAATAATGTACATTAGTGTGAGCATTTGAATATCTTCTAGCTAATCCCAAAACTTTTAGATTCCTTTCTGAATGAACAATCCCACAAAATTTTGGAATTTTACGGCGGGGGTGCAAAATGCCCTTTACCTGGTTCACTGTGCTGTAGATCATCTTGTAGTGATATGTCTGCATAAAAAATAATCTTCAATCTTTATCGAATGAAATTGCAAAGTCTTTCAGCCTCTGTTTTAGGTGCTGCAACATAAAAAATAAGCATATATTAACCAGGTAGAAAAGCATACTCAGAACAAAAGATTAAATGACTAAATAAATAAAAAACAAACTTAGCACAGTATTTTGATGGATTACCTTGAGCTCTTCGTGTAGCACAATAAATATTTTCTTCAACCTTTTATGTTTCTGAAAGATTTATCATTATTTCAAATCAGAACATTGAAGTTGACTAGAACAAATAAACAAGAGAAAAGCAGTGCATATGCATATAATTCAAAATCCCTAGTATTCTCTTAATTTATGAACATGTGCTTTCTACTTCTGCAACTCAGACATCTGACCGCCTCTTGATAAAAGCAGCTAGTTTCATTGATCAGCAACATTCACTCATTCTAATAAGACACGCCCATGAAAATATGGTTTTTCGCTGCCAATATTCTGTTCAACATGAACAAAAATGCAAAGTAATAACCATACCTAAAAAACCAGGGAAATGAATGTTTGATGTTGAAAATGGAATAAGAACATGGAAGCAATTAACAAGCAGCAACAAGGAGCAAGACCAAAAGAACATAAGGGAAGTTAGCACAAAAGTCCGATAGTGGATATTTCGTGGTCTATCTTGTTGAAAGTAAAAAATTTTAAGTCAGAAACGGTGATGAGGATGGCATTTTAGAGATCTAGAAAGCATATGTAACACCGCTATTCTACCCATTGACTAAATCCTATCCTACTATTCTAGCTTGGTTTAAGAAATGTCAAGATCCACTTGCTAGGCAGAAATTACAGAAACTTGTCCTGCAATTACAGCTATAAACCACCTGAACCTATACCTCCCAAACTTCATCATATTCGTACACCTCTACATTCCCCTCCATAAAGCTCCTACTGATTCAAACAACCCAAAGCCAAGAGAATGGTGAAATGATCTAGTCACTGGATTCGATTATTTGAACAGGCAGGCAAACAAATAGGAGAAAATAAACTATGAATCCTAAGAAGCTAGATAGAAGCATACCGCTCCACATTGATGATAAGAGTCCTTCAACTGTCCCAAGAGCTTGTAATATCTCTCCATGTCCCTACCTTGTGCAAATTCAAGGTCTTTTCCAAGTTTATGGAACTTTTTCCTACAGATGACAGACTCCATGTTAGTCAAACAAGTAACAGAAAAACAAAAGGCAATGACACACAGAAAGAAATCTTCAGAATACCTGTAGCTGTCCAGGGTCTTGTTCAAAGATATGTAACTTTCGTACTTATCATGATACTCCTGCAAATATTCTTTATACCTAACATAAAACCAGAGATAATATACAATTCCTAATTAGATGCCACAGGCTCAGGTGATCAAAAATCAACAGCAACAATAAAAGAATAAACCTTGCAGAAAAGTAAAACAGGCTTCCTTAATGTATAAGATCAGATATGACCACTTACTGAGAAATATCCTTTATTGGTCCCTTCAGCTCTGGTTCATCCTTTTCATACTTGTAATAAGAACAATTGTCTTCATCTGAAGAAGATTCCCTCCTCTTTCGACCACTATCATTGCTCTCTGCCATAACTGTGTCCTTGCGCACATCAACCAAGTCTGCCATCGAATTAGAAGTGTGTGTTTTACTCTCCTTTACCAAGTGGGATACTGATCCTCGTTTAGAGTCATGCTGTTGTGAAGTACTGCCAGGTGCTTTCCGATGGCTTTCTCCAAAACCTTCAAGACCACCACCTAATCTCACTCCAGCTTCAGTTTGTCTGAATTTACCACTTGCATCCATTGATTTGTTAAACTGGGACCCAACTTCAGCATGATCTACTCTTGAAAGATCTTGAGGCTGAGATTGCATGGGCCTATGATGTGTTCTTGTTGAATCTTCAATACGATTTTCTGGGGTCCTCTTAACTCCAATGCTGAGATTCAGTGGAGATGTTTTCCCTGGGTCCAAAGGGGCCTTTCCAACAGGTTTTCCCTTGCTCAAATCTGAATTGCAGTTATCAGAAGCGCTTGACTTGTTCTCCGACTGTTTAAATGAACCTTTCCTATCAAATTGCTTCTTAAATGGCACTTCCTCATGCAATGGTTCACGAAGTTCACCCAACTCCAAGTCTGAAAGCTCTCTATGGAGTATGTTGCTTCTTCCATTTCCCACCACCTGTCCAGTCTCATTGAATTTTCCAGCCATTTCACCATATTTTCCATAGTTGGAATCAAGTGGCACCGAATTTTTAGTTCCAGGACCAGCTTCCCTCAGATTTCTAGGCCCCTTTTTCTCCTTTGTAAAACTATCCTCATTTTGAGCGTCCCTAGAAGCTTTTTCTTTTACGGGAAAACCATCATACACCTGAGAATTCTTTCCAGAGAACTTACGATCATGTTTACTCGGCCTATCTGCTGTACCATGAGCCTTTGATCGTGCACTTTTATCAAAAGACTTTCGACCTGACTGCTGAAAATCAGAACCATGTTTCCCAGGAAAATCCTGATTGTAGCCCTTTTGGAAGCCAAAATCAGCACTACCCTCCCTGTCAGTTCTATTCATCATCTGAGCTGCAGAGCCCTTATAAGGGTCTTCAACAGATCTATTAGGTGATGAATTGTGAGGACTGTCGGCGAACTGGGAATCCCTAACCCCAGAAATAGGGAGTCGAACTGAGGTATCAGCTTTTGACGTTTTAGAACGATCAGATATCTGATCACTGTGCTTCAGATCAGGACCCCTCTTGGATTTGTTTTTTGATGCCTTTTCAGGGCTTTCAGACCTCTCACTCCTGAAGCTGTCCTTGACAACAGGTTCCTTATCATCAAACAAATTTCCTATAAAATTTTGGCGCTCTTGAAGTTCATTATCATCAATTAAGGATGTTGTCCCTTCCACTGGTTTTTCAGCTTCTCTGCTGGGAACCAAACTAGTATCCACAGCCATTTCAACTTCTTGTTCATCATCAGGCAAGTCTTTCTCAATGTCAATGGCATCAGACCCCTGACCTTCAATGTCAATTGCATCAGATCCTTGCCCCTCGATGTCAATTGCACCGGATCCATCATCATCTTGCTTTTCATATCTCTCATTCTGTGTAGGTCTGCCATCATCGCTTTTCCACGGTATAGGTGATGTTGACAACCCTGGATCAGAGGCCGGTAATTTTTGCTTGTACTCTTTGTCATCATCACTAGTCATAATATCCACATCTTCATCAGATGCCTCCTTGCTGTTTGAAGAAGCATCAGTTTCACTATCACTGCTACTACCACTCCCACTTCCAACTGGGCTTCTGCTTCGGCTTCGGCTTCTACTTCTACTTCTACTGTGGCTTCCACTGTCACTTCCACTATCACTGCTGCCACTGTCACTATCACTGTCACTTCCACTATCACTAGAGCTAGCTGGATGCCCTTCACTATTATCAGAGACTTTTCCCTCAACAGATAAATCTGGTGAAAACTGTTGGACATGAGTTTTCTCCATTGCAATTGTTTCTTCTCCAAGTTTAGAGTTTGGTTGAGCCTGTTCCTCCTTGCCACCAGTTGAGACTTTCTCCACAAAGCTTGGTCCTGGAGCAGGTTTCTGGCCAT